TCGGTGGATCGAGGGGTGTGTTGACGCCAAAGGTGATGAGCGAATACAGCACTTTCATCACCAACGCGTCGGTGACCAGTCCAAACATGTACATCTGCGAGTGAGTGAGTGGGAGTGAGTGAGAGCGTGTGTGTGTGTGTGTGTGTGTGTGTGTGTGAGCGAATGAGTGCCAGAGTGTGTGCGTGTGAAGCTGTCTGTACGTGCGGGAAACGGAAGTGGAGGTGTGCCAAGAGCACAAAGTCAGCAGCTGGCCTGGTTTCGTGCCCTCCCTCCACCTCTTCCCCCACTCCTCCTGCCCCTCCCCAAAGCAATACTCAAAGCAAGCATGTACCTCTGCAAAGTATCTCGCAGTTGCCACGCGCCGCTGCCGCAGTTTCGGGTCGTTGATTTCCATCCCGAGTCGAATCTCCTCGCACACCGCATCCACAACCTGATGCAACAACATGGCGATTGTGAGTTGGGAGCTCAGAATTGCTTGGGCAACAAACACAAGAGGATAAACATCCCCTTCTGTGCCTGAAGGCACCACACCCTCATCCTCTTCGCTGATGTGCGTATGTGTGTGTGTGCGTGTGTGCATGTGTGTGTGTCCACTGCTTACCATGGCGGTAACGTTGGGGATGTGTGCCTTGAGCAGGGCGAGGAGACTCGCAAACGCGGGGATGGAGCTGAACGTCACAATCCACACGCTGTGGCGTGGTGGAGAATTGCAACAGTTGTGGAGGCACACGGGAGGGAGGTGAGGTGTTGTGATGTGGCATGGCACTTGCAGTCGGATACCCTTGAAATGAAACAGCCCACCATCCATCCAGCCATGCAAGCATGCATCCAGCCATCCATCCAGCCGCAACAATTCACTTGCATGGCAACGGCATTTACCGTGTCAGGCACTTGACGCCATACTGCAAGAACGGTTTGTCGTTCCACGGCAGTTTCCTCAAGCGCTGCAGACCACCGAACCGAACAAGAGGGAGCAGCGTGAGGGGAGAGCGAAAGAGCATTGCATGAGAAGACCTATGCAGGGCTTGGAAACAAAACAAATCCACGCCAGGAAACACACAAGCAAATGCACACACACGCGCACACAAACAAATGCACACACGCAGACACGCGTGTAAATCCACATTGCCCACCGTTGCGACTGTCTTGATGGCTGCTGGCGTCGGCTTCAAGTCCGTGTAAAGAAGTTTGCGGATGTATTCGTGCAGTGGTGGCCGCTCCTGTCGTTTGCAATCACAGTGCACACGTGTGTATGTGTGTGCGTGTGTGTGTGTGTGTGTGTGTGTGTGTGTGTGTGTGTGTGTGCGTGCGTGTGTGCGCGTGCGTACGTGTGTGTGTGTGTGTGTGTGTGTGTGTGTGTGTGTGTGTGTGTGTGTGTGTGTGTGTGTGTGTGCGTATGTGTGTGTGTGTTGCAGTGTCAGCTGAAAGGAGGTCTTCCACGGAACGCAAATGTAATCACCACCGCCGCCACCGCCACCACCACCACACCATGGCCAGCAACATCATGGCACCTTCTTCTTCATTGCGCTGGCCGCGGGCGGGTTGCAGTACAGGACGGCGTTGTCAATGAGGGTGCGGTGGTGCTCCGACAGCCGCAGTCGCGCTGCCTTCTTCTTCATCACCTGTGGTGAAGTGTGCATGATGGGGAGTGAGGGTGTGGGGAGAGTGGAGTGCGAGGTAGTCGCGTCTCAGCGTGATACGAGCACACGAGTACACACACATACATACATACATACATACATACATACATACATACATACATACATACATACATACATACATACATACATACATACATACATACATACATACATACATACACACATACATACATACATACATACATACATACATACATACATACTTACAGACATACATACATACGCACACACACGCACGCAAACAAGTTCAACGGGGGGGGGGTTCAACGCCGTCGATGAGCGCACCTCGAGGAGCAAGTGGGTGCGGACGTGTGTGCCGGGACTGCGGTAGAGAAAGCGCCCGCACGTCTCCAGCAGCATGCATGCCGTGTCAACCTCGTGGTTCTTGAAGGTCCGCAGCAGCAGCTGGCGGTGGTTGCAGTGCAGTCATGGGGTGAGCAGCGAAGTGGGATGTTTGTACAAACGTGGTGAGTGAGTGAGTGAGTGAGTGAGTGTGTGTGTGTGTGTGTGTGTGTGTGTGTGTGTGTGTGTGTGTGTGTAAGCGTGTGTGCACACTCGCGCGTGCTGGAGTGCAACCAGAGTAAACAGAAAACCAACAATAAAGGGGCGAAAATGTGTTCGGGTGCCCTAACCTGCAGCAGATGAAGCGTCTTCATTCCGTCAATCACGCGGAACTTCGTCAACTCGCCAATGTATCGCGCATTGCGCAACTGTGTATGCATGCGCGCACGTGCACATGTGTGTGCGTGTGTTGCGTGTGTTGCGTGTGTTGCGTGTGTCGCTTTGCAAGTGAGACGAGCCTGGATAGCACCAACGCAAACAAAGCCGGGTTCCCAACCCCCTGATGTACAACTCCTACGCTCGTGCTGGTGCAAGAAGGTGCAATGCGGACATAAGAGTGCAGTTGGGCGGCACCTTGCTCTCGTAATGGCTGATGGGGAACTTGCGGCGAAGGAAGCGAAAGGTCGCACACAGCCGGTTCGCCTAATGGTGTCGGTCAGGCATGTGTGTGTATGGTGTGTGTGTGTGTGTATGTGTGTGTATGGTGTGTGTATGGTGTGTGTGTGTGCATGGTGTGTGTGTGTGTGTGTGTGTGTGTGCGTGCGTGTGTGTTAAGGTGACGCAACATGCGACATGAGAGCAGCACCAGCACCAGCATCGCGCCCTGTGTGCAATTGTGTACGTGTGTGTGTGTGTGTGTACATGTGTGTGTGTGTATGTGCTCAGCACGCACGAGTGTGTCTGCTATGTCTGGGATGACGGGCTGGAGGGTGGCGACGAGTCGCGAGTAGTACGGCAGCAGGTCCTGCTCCTCCCGCGACACGAAATACAGCCGCTGGTGTTCGGGGGAATTGTGTTTGTGGGGGCAATTCAGGAAGGCGGGAAAACGGCAGGGGGTGTGGGAGGGTGAGAACGATTGTGTGTGAACGGTTGTGTGTGTGTGTGTGTGAGAACACGTGAGGGAGAGAGAACGACTGTGCGTGAACGACAATCAGTGGGCGTGAAAGGTTGCGCGAAGCAAAATTGCGACAGGCGCCCAAACCTCAATGAGCTGGGAGCGAGCGTTCTTGCTGTTCTTGTAACAAAACTGCTTTGCAATCTCGTCCACACTCGCTGCCGTCGACGACCTGGGAGGAATTCAACCCAAGAACACACATACATGACATACACACACATCACCGTGAGTGAACGCGGCTCGCAATATGGTGTGTTTGAGGTGTTTCCCTCTCATCAACCTGTCATCATCTCAATGCGTATGTGCACGAAACCACCTCCCAAGCAGCCGTCATCATCATCATCATCATCATCATCATCATCATCATCATCATCATCATCTTCATCATCATCATCATGCATTGTCATGCTCGGAGGACCTTGGCAGCTGCTCAATGATCTCTGCAATGGTGGAGAGTGTCAGGTCGGGCCGCGCGTCCAGCGATCCCTCCGTCAAGTACCCGGACACCGCCGCCTCCGCTGCAACGATTGGGGGGGGGGGGAACGTGCACAGGAGCATGGATGATGAGGGGTGAATGGGATGCAGACAATTAGAATCTCTAGTGTGTAAGCACCATGCGCGCTGGGCACAAGAAAATGCGTACATTCGCACGCACGCACACACGCACGCACGCACGCACACACACACACACACACACACACACACACACACACACACACACACACACACACACACACACACACACACGTTCCACTTCCCACTTGCGCCAAGCGAACCCACCTTCCTTATCCTCCTCATCGTCATCTCCAACATCAGCAGCAGCCTCCACATCCTCTGCGTTCTCCTCTCCATCATCATCATCATCGTCGTCGTCGTCGGCCGATGGGTCCAGCCCCATTGCTGCCAGCTCCCGCGCCACCGCATCTGCGTCCTCCATTACAGCTGATGCAGCGCCGCAGCCGTGGTCGTGAAGGTGTGAGGTGCAATGGTGATGGTCGTGAAGGGGTGAGGTGTGAGGTGTGAGACCGTGGGGTGCTGTTTCTCATATGGCGGTTGTGATGCAGGATACATGAAAAGTATTTGAAAGCGTCAAATCAAACAGTAGGCGCAGCAAAAGACAAGAGTGCGAGCCAATGCAACACGCCAGTCTCCCGTGATATGCACCGTACCTTCTTCGGCCTCCTCGTTGTCCTCTTTCTTCCCCTCCGCGTCCTCGTCATCATCAGCACCATCACCATCAGCACCCTTCACCGTTCCCTCCTCCGCCTCCCTCTGCTGCTGCTGTTGCTGTTCCAACTCGCGCACGGCCTGCCGCCGCTGCTTTGCGCCCTTGAAGAGCACCGCCGGCATGATCCGCTCCAGCTCAATCAGCGACTCGTAGAACTCCCGCGTCTCAACGTCGCCCCAGATGCCCGCAGCCACTTCGTCCTCGCTCGCGTGCTGCACACGCGTGTATGAGGAGGGAGGGAGGGATGGAACAATGGTGATGGTGAGAACTTGCGCGCTTGTGTGTGTGTGTGTGTGTGTGTGTGTGTGTGTGTGTGTGTGTGTGTAGGTCACATTGGCACACTCGTTTACACGCATTTGGCAGAACCGGGTACAAGCACGCGAGTGTTGACAGACCAAGTACGGGTTGGTGATGCTCATGCTCATCTCTGCTAGCACATCCTCCGGCTTGAACTCGGGCAGCTCCGGCAGGTCCTGACGCACGACGGCAGGAGGGGTGTGAACAGGACAAAGCACGCATGTGTGTGTGTTTGTGTGTTTGTGTGTATCAATGTATGTGTGTGTGTGCATGTTCATGTACGTGTACGTGTGTGTGTGTGTGTGTGCCTGTGCGAGCAGAGGGAAAACACGCACACACAGACGGACAGACAGAAAAGACGAGTCACGGCAGCACTTTGCAGTTTCACTGCTCCACATAAACTTCAAAAGTCACCTTGTCGATGATATTGGCGAGAGAGCGCACGTGGCCGTTTAACTCGTCAAATGCAGCCTGCAGCTTCTCCTCCTGCTCCTTCTGCTCAGCCCGCAGCTCACCCTGCACCACACGCACATGTATACACACGTACACACGTACACACGCACATACATGGACATGCCGACGAATGTCAAAACAAAGGGAGGGGTGGCTACGAACAGCTTCACGGCGCAGCCGAGTTAACGCAGAACAGCGAAATTCGCACGCAAACACACACATACACGCACGCAAACACACACACACACAAAAGGACAATACACGCATGCACACCGGATGCACGTGTAACCACACAGAGCTGCGACCTTTGTCTCGAATGTGGCGTGGTTGAGCTTGAGGCGCTCGTTGAGGACTTCCTTCCTCTTGATCAGCGCAGCAGACACCGTCTCGTAGTACTGGTCCAGGAACGGAACAAGCTGCACGTGGTGTGGAGACAGCCGGTGTGAGGTGTACGCTCACCACAGCGCCGCGTCTATGAGTACACACTCGAACACAACACACCATCCATCACTACACTACACTACACACAGCACACCATACACCACTACACAAAACCACAACACACCACACATCAGCACACAAAATCACGACACGACACCAAGCAACCAAGCAAACGCAGGTGCCCACCTTGCCCTGGACGACGGGGAAGAGGGGCTCCGTGTGAGTGTCGACGCCTTGGGCGGCAGCGCCAAGACGCATCGCACGTGCGGTGATGCCAACCAGCTCCTCCGCTATGGCCCCCAGCACGTCAATGACGAGCGGAAGGTACACGTGGTGTTTTGCTTTGTCGTTTTGCACCACGCCAGCAACTTGCTTGGCCAGTTGCTACAGACAAGGCGGTTTGACAGTGGGGAAACGCAAGCACGACAGGCGAAGTGTGTGAGCAGTCGTTATCGAGTGTCGACAACCCGGCAAGTCACGAGCTCAAACGTGCTTGCGTGTGTGCAAGAAGTGTGTGTGTGTGCATGAAGAATGGGCAGACACGTGCTGTTGTTGGAAAGTGTAGGCTACCACCATTGTCCAAACTGACCTTCCCCTCGGCTTCATCGTAGATGCCCAGCAGAACGCACTCACTGTACAGGAGGAAGGCAAACCTGTGCAAACCCAAAAGAAGGGACAACAACACAAGCCATGTGAACTCGTGTGTGTGTGTATTGCACTCACATCGATTAGCTCTTGCACTGCTCTGCATCACTGCTCACGCTCCCCTCTACCGCCACACACACACACACACACACACACACACACACACACACACACACACAGACACACACAGACACACACACGCAGTGGCCGCACCTGAAGGACGCCATGGCATCCTTGTCGTCTGGCTCAGGGAGAGTGAGGGTGTTCTTGAGGGCGTCGAGCAAGGCCTCATCAAACTCCGCGTACCGGCAGTGCATGGCGGACGCAAGGGTGACGGCTGTCTGCAGATCCGCGTTCTTGGTGAGCCCAGCCTCTGCCAGCGAGCCTGCCACCTCGCTCAGGAACTTGGTCAGGTTGAGCTTCTCAAAGTCAGCCATGACGGAGGACCGCTGTTGCTCGGTGATGGCGGACTTGAGCTTCTTCACAAACGCCGTCGTCTTCTTCACCGTGCCATCCAGCGCCTTGAAGAACGCTCGGTTGGGCCGTTCCTTGGGCGCAGCCTTGTGCTTCTCGCGCAGCTCATGGCGCTCCTTTCGGCGCTGCACCCACTCCTTCACTCGTGCTGCACTCACAGGCTTCACCCAATCGCCGCTCCCCTCCGCGGCGTCTGCCACCACCGCATCGTCTTGGCGTTCGTCCTCAATCGTGGCGCCAGCACCAGCACCCACGTCCTCACCAAGACTTGCGCCACTCATTCTTCAACCCGTTCTTGTGTTCCTGCTGCTTGTGTTGATTGTGGAGAAATATCTGATATCATTCATCAATCGTCGACAGCCAGTGGAGGAAGCAAACAAGGTCGCTCGACACATCTCCATCCACACACATCCACACACATCCACACACATCCACACAGATGGCAAAGCTTCCTCGCTCACGACGGCCACAGCGCCCTGCTGGGAGCCGCAGCGGCGGCGGTGGCGGTGCTGCTGGTATGCTTGGGAATCTTGGTTTGGGCGATCTTGAGTTTGAGTGGTCCTTTGCCTTCTTCTGGAAGGTGATGAAGTCGAACCCTGGCGACTGCGCCACCATCGCCGTGTCCATTCCACTGCTCCTCTGCATCCTCCCACCGACGCGGCCGCTGGGGCTCGCCGTCACCTACCCGTCGCACAACACCACAAGCACAGATGAGCCAGGTGCGTGCGTGTAGTGTTGCGTGCGTATGTGTATGTGTGTGTGTGTGTGGAGTTGTTTGTATTTGCTTTCAGTTGCGTTTTTGCGAACGCTCTCGTTCTCGCCTTGAAACAATCACCCTCCCGCATTTCACCACAAACACACACGCACACGCACACGCACACACAAAACCATGTGCAGGCAGTGCGCGGTTTACGACGGGCCCCATGGATGTGCTTCTGCTGTTGTTTGTGGCTGGCTGCTCCTATGCGGTCCACGAGCTTGTGCGCGATCTCGTCCTCCGGGTAATGTCGCCTTCACTCCTTGCATCGACTGTGCCTGTGGTGGGGCTTGTGATGGAGCTTGTGGTGGTGGACATGGCAGCAGGCAGTGGTGACGACTGTTGCTCAGCGCCTGCACTCGTGTTGAGTTTGAAGATTGTTGTTGGCAGTGTGTCGAGTGCGTTGGCTCAAACATGCTGTTCCTTGGCTCACACGGTATTGCTTGTCGACATGATGGTGCAGCGCGCGAGCAAGTTGCTGGCTGTCGACCGGTATCAGCAGGCGACGTGGATGTTCACGGCCTGCGACGCCCTCGCACATGTCCTCAATGTCATCTTCATCGTCCAGTCTCTCACAGCGGTGCGTTGCTGGCCATGGTGACTGAAGCCACTTGTCAACTCAAGGAAACCACACAAACACATACACACACATTGACTCACTCACTCACTCGCTCACTCACTCACTCACTCACTCACTCACTCACACTCACTCACTCGCTCACTCTTGGTTTTGGCAGGCGCCCAAGGAAACGATGACCCGCAATGGAGAGGATGGTAGCGGCGGCGACGAGGAAGCAAACCTGTCGTGGCAGGAGTGGCTGACAGTCGACTTCCCGCATAGCATGACCTTTGGCACCAAGATGATTCTCCTCACCAACATCGCCTACTTTGCCTTTTCCGCACAGCTCGTCAACGTGCAGAGGGTGCGCTGTCCGTGTATTGTGTGTGTGTGTGTGTCTGTGTGTCTGTGTGTCTGCGTGTCTGTGTGTCTGTGTGTCTGTGTGTCTGCGTGTCTGTGTGTCTGTGTGTGTCTGTGTATGTATGTGTGTCTGTGTGTAGGTGTGTCTGTGTGTCTGTGTATGTATGTGTGTGCCTGTGTATGTATGTGTGTCTGTGTGTAGGTGTATGTGTGTGTCTGTGTGCTGTGGCCCCTCCCTTTGTGTATCTGTCCTTCTGTGTGCATCTGTCGCACCGTGTTGCTGCGACACCTACTGATACCAACACGCCTTGGACTCGGGCGTTGCGTCTTCCTGCCACCACCAACAACAGCACCTGCAGATGACCAAGAAGAAACCCCTGGAGACTGCCCGATTTATTGTGCCCCTGACTCACGCGCTCGCCTTTGTCGTCGCGTACACCTTCCTGTCAGTTGCGCTGCGTGCGTTGGCGATGGTTATTTGTGATTGAGGTGATCGAGGTGGTTGAGGTGGTGGCGGATGGGTTGATTGGCTGGTCGCTGTCTTCTGTCACGCGCCCTCTTCACACGCATCCCTTGAGCCCCTTCCACACCATAGCTGTAACCACGCCTTGTGCTTTGTCCCTCACAACTCGCCTTGCCACGTCCCCCCCCCCGCGTGCCACGTGCATGCCACTTCTCGTGTGTCCTTTTGTGTTTGTGGTGTCCGCCGCACAGGTACAACCGCCTTGCCATGGTTGTTCTCTTCCTGCACCACCTCGTCCTCGCCGTTGTCGACACGTCTGCTGTGTTGTTTCCGTTTGCCTGCAAGCAACGCGGCTCCGACATGCCCAACTGGTTCAAGTCCCAGTCCTCCTTTGGCGTCGCCGACCTCATCCGCCTCATGTGCGCGGTGGAAGGAGTGAGGGGTGTGTGTGTGTGTGTGTGTGTGTGTGTGTGTGTGTGTGTGTGTGTGTGTGTGTGTGTGTGTGTACAATTGTGTTTGCACTCTCCGCGTCTGTATGCGTGCATGTCTTCACCAATTACACTTCCTCCTTCCTCATACCTCCTCCTCCTCCTCCTCCTCCTCCTCCTCCTCCTCCTCCGCCTCCTCCTCCTCCTCCTCCTCCTCCGCCTCCTCCTTGTTCTTCTTCGCAGTGTGAAGTGGACGCCGGTGCTGCGTGCGTTTCTTCTCCTCTCCATCGCCGCCATCACCGCCGCCACCCTCTTGTACGGCCCACATGCAGCAGCACGCCTGCACAGCCACTGCTGTTGTATCTCTTGGGAAACGCCTCTGGTGCATGCAATGATGGTTTTGCTCATCCCCAACACCAAGCACCAGCGCGCCATGCCGTCTTATCATCCACTCGACACTCTTTTTTCTTTTCTTTTTTCATCGCACTCACTCTCCATACACACCCGCACGCTCACACACACACGCGCGGGCACACACGCACACCAGCGTGCTGCTGCCTGCTGCGGATTCGCCCTCGCTGCTGGCGTCCACGGCCGTGCGCGCGTGTGTGTTTGCGGCATTTGTGCTGTCGGCTGCGTCTCCCATCGTCGCCCCACTCGCACTCCGCACACACGCGCACACGCACGCGGAGAGCAGGGGCGCTGATGTGGACGAGCTGACGACGGCTCCCGCTGCTGCAAAGAAGACGAACAAGGCCAAGAAGCAGGCGTGAATGCTGCTGTCATCGCATCATGGGCGCACACAGGTTGGTCGTTTGTGTGTGTGTGTGTGTGTGCGTGTGTGTGTGTGTGCATGTGTCTGTGTCTGTGTCTGTGTCTGTGTGTGTGCATGTGTGTGTGCATGTGTGTGTCTGTCTGTCTGTCTGTCTGTCTGTGTGCGTGGTGATCTGTGGCCATGTGATGACCAAAAATAGCCCTGTCTTAGGACACCACGTCCTCCCACCGTCTCCACCCCCTTTGGCTACCGATTGCCCACGACCGCCCTCCTCTGTTGCCTGCAAGCAACCACGCCGCCACCCTATCATCACCGTCGTCATTCGTTTGCGCACACGCGCGCGCACGCGACGCTTTGTCGACGCTCCTGCTGCTGCTGCTGTCGTTGCAATGATGATGGTGGTGGTGGTGGTGGTGGTGTTGGTACACACACGTGTGTGGCTGCTGCATTCGCGTTGGCTTTGGCTGGTGCGGGCTGGGCGTTGGAGAAGGGAGGTGGGACTGGTCGGTTGATTGGATTGTGGTGTCGGTGCGAACACCGGCTGAAGCGTATTTAATTTTGTTGGACTGATGGCCACAGTCACACGCGTAGTGTGTCATGGGAGGGTTGTCCATATGTGTGTGTTTGTGTTTGCTTCACTCTTTCGTCTTTGCTCCTCTCACCGCCACGTTCTCCCTGCTATCATCGCTTCCTCCCATGCCCTTCAGCGTCTGTATGTGTGTGTGTGTGTCTGTCTGTGTGTGTGTGTGTGTGTGTGTGTCTGTGTGTGTGTTTGTGTGTGTGTTTGTGTGTTTGTGTGTGCGCGCGCTATTCTCTAGATGTGTCCCCCGTTCAGTTCTCGCTCGCTGTTTTGCTCGCTTGTTTGCTTCACCTCGTGAGCTCCGACACATTAAACGCTGCTGTTACGCTGTTATTGAACACGCACGCACACACACATGTGGAAGGATGTGGAAGGATCGATTACCAAACAGAGGAAACACACACACACGCGCACCCACGAAACAACTGCAGCCACACACACACACACACACACACACACACACACACACGCGCGCGCACGCACAAAGCAACTGCAGCCACGGCAGCTGATGGATGTGTGCTATTGGTGATGACCACCACCATTGCCAACCTGACGGTGCTGGTAGTAGTGATGCTTCCCCTGCCCTATTCTTTGCTCTTCGCTTTGCTGTTGTTGTGGTTGCTGTTGTTGCTGAGCGTCGCGCTCTCGCTTCCACGCTACAAATTCGTCCAGCAGCACAGGCCCTGTGGTTGTGATGCAAGGTCATGAGCGTGTGATGTGGGCGTCGGCGCATGCAAGCAACGCAGACACACACACGCAACACAACAAAACCATACACATGACACGCGTAACACAAAAACGCACGCATGCAACACACGCAACACAACAAAACACACGCAACACCACAACACAACAACAACAAGAACAACAACACAACAGTACACGCGCGTCGTACATGCATCGTCCTCGCTGTATCCGGACGAAAGGTCCGGGGCGACGTGGACAGCAAAGTCGTGCACACCAAACCACTGGTCGCGCGTAATCACCACGGGGCGTTTGCTCTGACAGCACAGGACACGTTGGGGACGGGGAAGCGGTGACGTGACGTGAGTGGCGGAGAACAATTGACGCTTGATTTTGGGAAAATATGGATAGGGAGAGGGGAGACAGCTTGTACGAAATGGTATGCAGTCAAGGCAACACACTCACCATCACCCCAACAGCACATCAACGACAGCAATTGCTGCGCAGCAATTACAGCCACATCAACAGCAGCAAGTACAGCCCCACCGACAGCATAAATGAAACACGCAACGTACCGCTGCAGCCTTATGGTCGAGAAAAGCGAAGAAGTCGTGGGTGAGCGGCCAGCGGCGGGCGAGCAGCACGTGCCACATCTCCTTTGCCGTCGACAGGTCCAAGTTGCGGGCCGGCGGGTGGATGGTGGAGAGCGCGTACTTGAATGCAAAGCGGTACACGGCGCGAAACACAGCCGGGTCGTCCAGCTCGTCGCGCACGTCGGCGATCTTCGACGCAAGCTGCTCCGGGGTGGCGACACTGCACAGATACGAGGCAAGGTTGCCATGATAAAACAATGGGAGGAAACAAGAACAAAGGCGCGCGAAAAGGGACATAAGGCTGGTGTGAGGTGGGGGCCAGGGTACCGCAGGGGAGACGGCAGTGTACAAGGATCTGCAGGGATTGATCTTTTTTTTTGGGGGGGGGGGAGGTTGGCTGTGACTTGCGTAGGCAAGTGTGATGAAAAAGAAGCAAATGATAAAAGGGGAACGCACTCCATGACGCGGAAACAGCGCAGGAACTCCTCTTTGGTGAAGCAGCCCATCTGCTGGCACTCAGCCTTGTATGCCAGCACAAGCACAGCCACCTGAGCAATCAGTTGTTCGCAGCCAGGGCGACAGAACAGTGACTTGACTGGCACTGGTAGTGGGTGGCGTCAAGTTGACTTCCAGCAATCAGGCAACG